TGACTCATGTGGGCGAGTCAAGTATGCAAGCGAGCCTCTGATTGTTTGGTGATGCAGACGCACTTGGTGATTAAATGAACCAAACTCATGCAAGTGAGTCTGGCATGCAGGCGAGCTTGGCGACTGCGTGGATTTGACTGGTCATTTGTACCGTGAGCGGCTGCTTGAGGGGATCGAAGCACTGTAGTCCTTCCCTTCACGTCATATGAATGGGAATACCCATCCCTATACGTGACAGCACAGCCGCCTAGTAGTTAGAATAGTCTGGCAAGATCATCGATTGTCTAGCTAACGTCTCGAATGTACAGGTGAACCTGGTGCCTGAAAGGATTTGACTCGTGCAAATTAGTCAAGTATGCAGGCGAGTTTGAAGGAACTTGACTCGTGTAGGCGAGTCGAGTGTGTAGGTGAGATCAACTTGACTCGTGCAGGCGAGTTCTGCAGTTGCGTGAATTTGGCTTGTGCAGGCGAGCCAAGCATGCAGGCAAGTTTCATCTATGCTGGTGAGTTCGACTCCCGAATAAGCTTGGCTTGTGCTAGTGAGTCAAGCATGTAGGCAGAATCGAGCTCTTGATAGCGGGTTTTTGTAGTCAAGGCGATTTTTATAGCCTACACCTACATTAATACCACTACTTGTGTTCTTCATCCTGAGGAGGCTCGACTATATGGGAAAGTAATACCTCACTATCATTCAAAGCTTCTTTCAAAGCCTCCCTCGTTTCCTTAGATAAACATAGAAGTTCGAATGAGGTTATACAAGTTGGGATATGTGCTAGTTAGGTCAGGATATCATAACAAAATGGGTCTTTGGTGTCGTCTAAGGGACACTGCAACACCTTGTCGAATTGAGTCTCCTTTTTCTTAGTTGGTTCACATTGTTTGGAAAGTCCTAGTTGATCATAGTCCTTTAAGTAATCTCGACCAGACCTTGTCCCTACCATGATAATTTTCTCTTCCTCCAAATTAGTGAGTGAAGAGTCTCATAAAGATTCCTTTCTAATGATTATAAAGATAGCATTGCAGGACTTCATCTTGTGTTTGTTCGTGGACTTTGGAAGAGTCTAATGTTCATATTGGAGGAGATCGGGATGTACCCATGTTATCTCCCCTCTTGCTATTATAGGAAGGACTAAGCCTTAGTTTTGTTGGTTTTGTTAGCCATAATTGACTACCTCCATCCTTGCAATAAGAATGGGGATAGCGCTGGCTCGGGCTTAAATTTTTGGCATGGAGCCGATTTGGAGAGTTACCATATTAGCGGTAACTTTCTTTTGCTTAGGTTTGAGCTTGAGGATTCCTGACTTGATAAATGACTAAATTTTGTCCTTAATGATGTAGCAGTTCTTCGTCAGGTATCCCAACATTCTGTGATAAAGACAGTAGTTGAGGTCGTCAGCCTTTTCAACTTCTTTAGTGCGTCTAGTTTTGGGAAGCTTCAACTGATTACCTTTGCTGAGGACATGGAAGATAGGCACTATAAGTTCATCTTTAAACGAGTAATTATATTGAACATTCTTTCTTAGTTTTTTCCTGGTTGTTAGGATTTTGTAACTCAACTGTGAAAGAATCTTTGCTTTTTGGTTGGGAGGTTTTCCCTTGCTTGTTTTTATTGCCCATGAAGTTAGTGTAGGAATCAAACTTGCTAAAACATTATGATGGCTTTTCTGCTACCTCAACTTGTTCCATCAAATTCTCCCATACGTGGGTCATAATAGCGTCCAAATGAGCTTTTATACACCCCTAATAAATTGTGCTGATAAGTTTGAAGTAGCATCTGCAAAGGCATGTCTCAACAATGCAATGTCAGATTATGATATCTCTTGAAGAATTCCCTGATAGTCTCATTTCCTCTTTGTTTTTTAGAGAGGAGTTTGGTCATGGTAATATCTGATTGTTCCTCGTAAAAATTAATAAACAAAAGCTCATAAAAAACTCGAATTTCCTTTTTTTAACCTTTTATTAAAGCGCAGGATAAGGCCAAGTAATCTACAGAAGCCAAAGAAACAAGGATTAAATATGAATAGAAATCATGTGAAAATCATGTTCAAGATATTACCCACAAAGAAACGGCGATATCTCTCAATCCGAAAGGCAGAATTTAACATATAATATATAAAAATCGCCTATCTCGACGAGATAGCGGTAACTACATTTTCAAAAATTTTAAATTCTAATTGCAGAATTTAACATATAATATATGAAAATCATCTATTATATTTTAAATTATAATATATGAAATTTTTGATAATATATGTTTATCTTGAGTGGTTTGATAGGTTATACTTATAAATTCTAGAATTACTATCTAGTTATTGTTCTTTTTATGAATGTTAATTTTACTTAGATGATAATTTGATATGTTATGTTTTTCTTAAGTGGTTTGATAGTCTATGCTTAATAAATCTAAAGTAAAATATGATAAAAAGAGAATAGTTCATAATCTATAAGTGAAGTTCACTAGTGGATTTAATTCTAGATTCCTCATATCTCTAATTAAATTCTTCATCCTTTACTTTCTTGATTTTTCTATTTATTCTTGATTTTTTTTCTCTTATTTCTCTCTTATTTGCTCCTTGATTTTAATTCTCTTTATTTCGTCATCCTCTTTTCTCTTAATCTCGTTTTGTTCTCATTTGCATATAACCAAAATCACTTTTTTTTATCTCTCCACAACCACTTTTATCACTCCTAATTGTCACACACAACTTAAGAACTAATTTTAATTAATTCTTACAACACCTTCCTCATGTTATTCAACAATCTTCTATAATATAATTTGATAGTTAGGGGCTGTTTGGTTCGCTATTATAAGGGGTGGAAAACTCAGAAAACCCATCCACGTCAGATTTTTAGCCCTCCACGTCAGCTTTTTTGTTTCCGTCCATTTCTTTGTGCCGCTTTGGTTCGCTCGAATGGAAGAGGGAAAACTCTGCTGAAATCGCCGCCAACTAAGATTGTTTTCCCTCTTCGATTTCCTTCCCCAACCAAGTAAAATTGATGAAAACTCTGCCACGTCAGATTTTTTTCCTTCTCTGCTTTGTTTACAAAAGTTCAGATTTTTTTTTTTCCTTCTCTGCTTTGTTTACAAAAGTTTTCCTTTTTTTTCTATGCGAACCAAACACAAGAAAAATAAATACATTGGTTTCCCACCATTTTTTATGTGCGAACCAAAGCAAAACAATCTATTTCTTGGAAAAGTTTGGAAAACTCAAAACTTGTGTTTCTTTACATGGAATTACATTTCTCTATATCAAGGAAACGAACCAAACAGCCCCTTATGTGCTTGCAACTTTTGGTTATATTTATTTACCTCCCTATCAGAAGTACCTCGCCATAATAGGTCAACACATGATCTACCAACTTGTCTCACCACTGACTAGGGGTAGATAAGACCATCCTAAAAAGCAAAAGTCATGATCATGTTAATCCCCTTTGACATCAATTAATTTGTCTTAAAAGATACTTGCTTAATTAGGACACATCCTCATCAACAGGCAGATCTCAAACAATGCTCGGGTTTAGGCCCTCAAGTCTCTCAAACCTACATTCAAACAACCCATTGCTCAAAGAATGCTCTCCCCAATTGCCAACGGGTAGAGAGGCATAACGTCCTAAGACGTCATCTAGGGGATGAGTTGCAGGTCAGAAATAAGAAAGCGAAGGATAACGGTCCAAGATCATGAGACAGAATTCCATACCGATTATGGCGCAAAGCCAATAAGACTTCTTTGGTAGATTCGAACACACCAACTCATCCCTAAATAGATATGCCAGCTTTTGTAGAAGAGGGCAACTAATTAAAAGGAGATATCTCACGTTGATCACAGCCAGAAGCTGCAAGAGATTTGGATGCAACACTATGCTCTCTAATTCATGGTCATAAGTACTCCAAATTTCGATTTACCTGAGTGGGCATATTCAGGAGACAATAGCTTAACTAGCTGTCATCAGCCTAAGGTATCTCAAAGAATGTTACTAAAAGTAAGTAAAGAGAAGGTCACTACTAAAGTGCAAACTAAAGGAACTCTCACTGAGTTGCCAAAACCAAACATAGGACAAGGAAACAATAGCTTGACTAGTGTGATGATTTCATGTCGTATGCTCAAAACTGACATGTGGAATAAAGTCCACTCTAGATCTGACCACATCAAAGAATAGTAGAAAAAGACGGTATTGAGTGGATCCCAAAGGGGGCTGAATCCACAGATGTCATAAAGACTCAAATAAAGGGGGCTTGCTTTCCTACAGGGGATGCTCTTATAATTTAGTCCCACCACCAAGGGTAGAAGGATCCATAGCAGCCAACTGACTAAAAGATGGAGCTTGACTCGCTCTAGTAGGTCACGACTATCTAGACATAGTTGGCAAAGATGAAAAATCACAAACGATGTAAGGTAAGAACTTGGGGGCCCTTTCAAGACCCTTGAAAAGAACTTTTGAAAATGTAAGATAGTTGATATCCACACCCTCCTTTGCCTATCGGCGAGAGGATCACCTCTGGATTGTGGTGTATTCGCAAAGTGCCTCGAGTCATATTCTCCCTCTCTCTCCAATCAAATCAAAAGTAGTAGAGGGGATGATTTATCAATCTAGAAGCTGTAGATACGAATGACTATGACATTGCTCCACACTACAAAACTTTAAGTGAGTTTCAATGCGCAGGTTGGCCATAAAAAACCCAATGCACAGCTGAGAGTCTAATTTGCCATGTAGGGATCGATTCAGTCAGATATCAACATTACGACATATAAAAACATAGTGAAAGGAAAATATAGATGGAGATATAAAGAGTTTTTCATTAATTACAAGTAAAGAAGGAGTATAATGCAATTAGATAAACAAACTAAAAATAGAGAAAGGAAGCAACAGAAGGGGTCTCACTCAACGATACAGTCCTATGTGACCTTCTTCAGGCTCTTTCTTCGGCTATGCAAGCTTCACTCAATGGTTTGTCCTTATACGTTCTTCTTTTGACTCCTTCAGTTGAATGGAAGGGAGCATCAGGGTATTGTATGCAGCTTGACCTCCTCCAACTCTTTCTCAATCTTATCTAACTTTTTATTGGTCTTATCCAATTCATGCATCAAACTAGTAACAATATCACAGAGCTCCTCACTATCCATTAGTATCTTCTCCAACTAAACCACCACATTTGGCACACAAGACGCTCAAATGATGAATGGTATCATCTTCAAGCGCATGAATGATGTGAAAGTGAGGTGCATGAACACTTGAGCAATTAGAGAGGGGTGATAAATGAAGGAAGGTTAGACACAACAAATACCTTGGCCTCTCTCTTATAAGAGAATCTACCTAATGACTAACCAACATGTGCTGAGAAGACTTGACAAGCTAATGACAACGAGTCACTTGACAGCGTATCAGACCATTCCATCACACTCTGTTGGTACGAGTTTTAAATATCCTACCAAGTGACCAGCTGAACTATATGACTTATAGGTCCATCAAGATTCAGAGGATGTAGAATCGGTCAAATTATGAACGGTCAAATTGCAACTACAAGAAAATCAATCGTAGCAAAAGAAAAAATGAAACAAATCAAATAGAAACAGTTCTTTGCATAACTTAAGTTTGAAGATCACAAAAATATGATGGTGCAACATGAAATAAACAACACAATTACAGCTAGACAGTAAAGACAAAATCAGATGCAACAAAGCAACCACTATGATCACTCGTCGTTGTAATCTTCCTCGCAGGAAGAAGTGTCCTCTAGGCTACCACCTAGGCTCATCAGACACCACTTAAAGCATTAGAGTGAATTGAAGAAGTGGTCAAGGTTGCCTTTAACCTTCCAAGCCTTAACACCCTTCTTAGAAAGATGGCAAACAAGGTGGCTGTATTTTTGCCTCGTGGCACTAACCTTAGTATATACTGTTTGATTGTGTAACAGGGGTACTTAACTCATTCTCTAGTTGGCTCTCCATAATAGAAGTAGATTTAGACACATACTTTAGCTTCACCATTAGAGTTGCCTACAGTGGAGAACTGATCTTCTTGGTAGAACTCGCACCAAAAGATGACATCATCAAGACCATAGTGAAGAAATGGAAAAGAGGAATTGAAATTATACAGAGATACAACTCTATATCGCATTCACTACTTATAAAAAATATAAGCAAATTAGGAGTAGCCATATGGAAGGGTTGCATCTCTTGAGGTCTAATTATAACTGAACCACGTTCAAAGCACCACAATAAAAGGATAGAAGACCAATAATCACTCTCACTCGTTCAGGTATGACCTATCTTCATGAGGGTTAACAATTCATACACACTTGGTCTATGAAAAGATATATCAAATCAATTCTAACATAAAAAAGCATCCATATGTAGAAGCAGAGAGAAAGATCAGTACATTGAAAAGAGAGTCACCACATGAAGACAATTTTTAGAAACATGAATAAAAAAACAAGACAACTGTGACTAACCAGAGACCTAGACAACAAAATAACAAAAAGAATTGCAGATGAAGCTGCAGCCGAAGTCACCCCCCACCATCATTCTCATCAAAGGAGAGGTTGGTAAGTCTCCCTCCCAAGTGCTGGATATGATGCTTGTAGCGCTTTATGGAGGCAAACAATTTGCTAATCCTATACTCGACATCCCACAACTCATCTTCTACCTTGTTCAAGTTGTGAAGCATATGTTGTTGTCATAAAGGGTATTATAGTCATCCTGAAGCTTCTTCATGATGGCAAAAGACGTTCAATTTTCACCTGCAAGTTATGGACCCATTCCTACAGCAGATTATTCACACGAACAGTAGCAACTGCTATCCAAGTGCTGGAAATCGGCATGGGCATTTGGAGGGTTCAGCGCTAGTGTTCAACATCCTTAAAGACACTCGATGAGGGAGGAACAAAGAATTGAAAAGAAAATAAGAAAGCAGTACACAACAAGCAGTTACTACCTATCATCTACTTGCATGATCGTCTTACCAAGGACATGGTTAATGGATAATTAAGACAATAGGAATACGAATAGTCATTTCTACTCGAACCACACTACTACTAGTCCAACTAAGCCCTCTTCATTTGGGTCACAATGAGACTCTCTCTATTGGATTGCAAAATACAGCCAATGCACCATGCGGTCTAGTAAGGCCTGAGTCACAAAAGGCCTGTAGACATGGACACATGGAGCATCGAACAATTGAGTAATAATACCTTCATTGCATTCATAAAAACTCAAGAGATTGATATGCCATAGAGAAGAGTATGTGTAGGAAGCAAACCATTCAGAATCTAGACACAAAATAAGAAAGAATAGTATTAAGGAAGTCTTGTTTTTCATTGATAGAGCCTTCTTACAATCACTTTTGTCCTACAAGCAGCAAGGAGAAAAGAAGGAAAAAAATCAATAGAAGAAAAAAAGGTGGAGAAAGGCAGGTGACACCCTAGTGCAGAAAGCTTATCAATCGCTCTCCTAGTCTTCACTTGTGGAGCTCAAAGGATCCTTTCTGAGGTGCCAACGAAGCGTCCAAGGTCATATATGCAAAATGCCACTTGTTTCTCTCATCATCCACCTCGTGTCATGCCTCTAAGTTGTTCTCAATGTCTCAATTGAGGTTTACCTTCTTAACCAGCAACACCTCTACTAGCTGACGAAGTATTTTGTTCTCTTCCTTAGGGCCACTGATAGTCAGAATCAACTCCTCCGTGAGCCTCTCAATCTCAGACGCCATACAAATGAGAGGAAATAGGGGATGAGGGATGGTGGAGGCATCAGAAGATGAAAGAATTATCACCTTTAATGAACCCATTTATAAAAATACTCATCCAACAAGAACATGAAAAATGAGTCGTCTATTCGCTTCGTAATCTGATCCTGTAATAATGGAAAAAAAGTCCAATCGATAATCTCTCTTTTAAGGAAAGCAATTAAACTACTCGGATGTTATGGAATGACCCATGTTAGGTGTTAATCAAAAAGATCTGCTCCAAATCGACTGCACAACAGCACACCACGGATAAATGCACCATCAATTCCCCAAAGGTGCATGTTGCTAGATATTGAAAGTGAAGGCTACATGCTTAGAGCATCTCCAACAGCTTCCCCAAAAATTTCTCCAAAATGGGGAATCAAATGTCATATTCTCCAAATTATTTTTGCTCCAACTCCAACAGCTTCCCCATTTTGAAGAATCATGCATTTATTACAATAATAAAAATATTCTACATCTTTGACTAATAAATAATAAATTTTAAAAATCACATCAATTTGTTGTTTTAATAGGTTCCTTCCAACAAAAGATAACCAGAAAAGATATTATCTCAGCAAGCAAATTGATGAAATTGCTAAGAGTCTTGATTAATAATAAGAAGACAATGAAACATAATGAGTGCGAACATGAGTATTTGTTGAGCTTGATGCTGCGATCAAACGAACAGCCACATGAGAATGCAAATGACAGAAAACTTAAAGGATTGACACGAATCGACCAGCCAATTACTTGATCTCCAGCTCCAATTGAAGGCATTCTTATGATCTCGGGTCTCCGGAGATGGAGGAGGACGTGGCGGAAGCCCTGATCGCCGTCGGGGAACGACCAAAGAAGCATCGGGATTGAGGTTGATGGAGGCGGCGCCGGTTCTTGAGCTCGACGGATTGGATGATGGAGACGAAAGAACGTTTTGATTGCCGGAGATCGCTAGGGTTTTGCGAATGGCGGGAGAGACGGAAGAAGCGGCGAAGATGGGTGTTCGCGGGAAAAATGGTTTTCTTCTTCATTGAAATAATTGTCATCTTGGGTTACAAAAGATCCGGTCACGTGAAAAAGTGCTTCCCCAAATATTTGCAGAATGCTGCAGATTTGGGGAAGGCTCTCTATTTTTTCTCTCCTATCCCCATTTTGGGGAATGGGATGGGGAATCTGTTGGACCAAAAAAAAGCTCAAAATTCTCCAAATTTGAGAATACCAAGAAGAAGGGGAAGCTGTTGGAGATGCTCTTAGTTTTTTCTCCACCTTACAACAGTGTAATGTTATTGGATAATCCGTTCCATTAATTTCAAATGTACAAAATCTGAAACTTCTATAAGTTAAGTATCGCGCATTTTGAAAGTTTCTTTAAGTGATGTTTCAATTATATAACTGCAAGCCCTCAGGGATTCATGAGTTCAGGTAGCTCAATTGACACTCTGTTGCCTTCAATTTACTATATGCCTTAAAGCGTTTATTAATAAAACTTCTAGTTCATAGATAATGAGATTTCTTTAATTTGATTATACACCTAAAAAATTGGTTGAGAGCAATTAAAATGGATATGATATATGGTTAACTTAACGGAATATATGACCCAAAATAAAACTGAATGGAAGGATATGATTCATTTAGGCACCCGCAAAAATTTAAGATAAAAACTGTCATTGTTGCTACTGCTGTTGTTTTTAGTTAAGATTGTTAAAAAAAGAAAGTTCAATTTACCATCTTTGATGTGTTGGATGACATGTTCTCATAAATTTTTTTTTTATGTAGTGGTCCTTCAAGACTTACAGGTTATAATGAATGTAGGGGTATAAATAAAAAAATCAAACCCCGAACGTTACAAGCTGATGATGCAAGTTTAACATATAAGACTCATCAGTTCACGCACGGGCAGAATAGTTGTGTAGCAGACATTTGGATAGAAGTCTGTAACTCTTTTTTAAATAGATGAACGAAAAATAACAGCCTAAAGCCATCACTCATGCAGCTTGTTTTACAATAGTTGAAGTTTCAAACATTCATGTTTACCTGGTCAAACCTGGCAACTAAATGCCAACCTAATTAACGATTAAGCAAATCCATCATCCTTTCAAGTAGTGTCCTCCTCAGTTCAGAACATTCACCAATTCCACCCAAGCTTTTTCCGACGATCCCCCCTCTCTCGTA